TCTGAAAGTAACGACCTGAAAGTAATGAATGCCCAAAAATAACACCAAATAATTGTGGCCGCTAATAAAATCCCAATGCACCTGATTTTCAGGTACATGTACATATATTCTTCAGTCTGAGTCATCAATGATGAAACTGTCTTGATATAGACCCATAGTCTGCCTTTGTGTAACCGCAGCAGCAGCAGCTGAGACAGCAACTGAAGACCGAAGGTTCATGAAGAACATAGGTTGTTCCCTTGCTTCTTCATCAGAAAACTGATTACATCCTTCATTCGAACATAAATTATTTTTATCCACAGTTTCACCACATTTGGAAGTATTTGATGTTTCTTTTGCTTCCATCTCAGGAGCAAGACTTGTGTTACCATTATGCAATGTTTCATCTTTCACATTTGCAGAATCTGGTAGATTGTGAACAGGTGATTTTATAGGCTGAACAAACCCTGCAGCACCAATGAGTGGATCCTTTGCCTTTGTAAATAAAACAGCCTTAAGTTCTTGAAGAAGTTTTTTGTTCTTCTTTGCCGCATTAAAGTCTCTTTCAAGATTCTCAGCTGTTGATGCAGGGTGGTCACAGAGAGCATCATCGTATGGATCAGAAAATGCCTCATAAACCCTGTCACTCTCTGAAACTTCCTCTTTGAAATCTAAAGGGGAAGGTTCATTTGATTCTTCCAAAATGACATTGCTGACTGTATCACAAAAGCTTCTATTTTGTTCTGTAGCAGGTTCTTTACTCAGCAACTTGTTAAGATGTCTTTCAGCCTCCTGCCAACAGGTAAATGCTGATTCTAGATCACTTTTTAACCAATGAAATGATACAAACTTTGCATTCATGTCAGACAAGTCCGTGGATTTTAATTCACATTCTGCTTCAGAAAGTTTCCATATAATTTCCTGAAAAGACTGCAATCTCACAATTCCTGCCTGAAGGTGAAGTTGTAGACTATGAAGAGCTGTATTAAGAAGTGTCAATTTAGTAGAAGGCCTTGCAGTAGGAGGCTTTGCAGACTCTTCTTTTATAAAACAAAAACTGTCATGTAAGTGGTAACATCTCTCAATGGCTGTTAGAGAAGCTGCTATAGTTTTTGAAGAAATTCCAAATATCTTGTTTATGTTTGTAAAAAGCTCTAAGTACAGGTCGTACAAATTCCCATCATTTGCTTTCACCGATAGACTGAGCAAGAATCTGCTGAGAAATTCTGACTGTAGGCTTAAAACTAATGACATCCTATTTTTTAATCCTTGTAATGATACTCTTCCAGGGCAACTATCTGGTGCGATGTCCCCAGCTCCAACAAGCTCGCTGGTTACAGATTGTGTTGAAAAGTATGTGAATACTTCGGCAAATTCCATGCTAAGGGGAAAATGTGAAAGTAACTCTTTCGCTGATTGCTGAAGACATGTTGCCACATATTCTGTATTTTTCGCAACATTATCCCTTAATGCTGGATACACTGCTGATCTTATAAAATGATCATAGTTTTCCAAGAAGAATGCGGGATTACCTGGACCCGCCATAGTATAACCTTTTGATATCACCTCCATTTCTTGAATAAGCTTAATACACTTTCTCAACAGGAAAATCAGTTTCTTAACATGTGTGGTAAAAAATTTCAATTCCCCTAAATTTTTCTGATGATGAATTTTGAAGTAATATTGAACGAACAACTTAGTGCCTACCGCCATAAATACCACAAAGAAAACTGAAAGTGACGCTAAAACAGACTCATTAATACTAGTGGCCAGTATTACAGAGACTAGTACCACAAACGAAGCAAGAATGTATTTTCGAGAGAGCCATGAGCCCCGTTCTCTTGACGCGCAAAGTCTTCTAGATTCGAAAAGTTCAGGATCAAAGCGGGAAAGAAACTCGACGTCATCCTCGTTTAATAGTTGTGACTCGGCAACTGCCGCAACGTAGTCTTTCCTGAAGGCATCAAGATCCTGCAGTGATGGCGTTATAGCAATCTTGAACCACGACAAAAAAGACTCCCAAGTAGTTAGCTTTGTTCTGTTGCCAAAACGATGAAATAGGCCTTTTATCCAGGTTCTATCGAAAAAAAATTGATTCTTTTTTAACTTTTCTTGTTCTTCTTCCTTTTCAAAGTCTGTAAAACCAATTTCGTGGAGATATTTCTGTAAGGGTGACTTCTCCAACAGCACGTTTTCGTCAGCCATATTATTCTTCGCGTCCTTCCCAGGACTCTCTACCAAGCTGCCTTCGTCGTGGGACGAGCGGTAAAATGCATGAGAAAGGACTGGAGAGAAAGACGAGTAGGACTAAGTTCTATTTATTGTGAATGGTTTTAGGCCAACACCGCACCATAGTTTACACGGTATGTCTCTGTGGATTTTATTTAGGTAGCGCTTTTCAATGGATGTGAATTGATTTTAAACTTCGCCTGTAAATCATGTACTGGTTTGTTAAAATCCTGTGCGACATTTAAGCTGGTTACGGCAGGAGAGATATCGTAATGAGCTTAATTTGGCTTGGCTTTCAGTTGACGCGTCTTGTCAAAAGTGAACTTGTGCAGTATCGAGAACTTTGTCTGCAAGCTAAGTGCTGTTTGCTGCTAGTTACATATAGCGGCACATGCTAACGACAGATATCGATAGTATAGGTTATGCAATGAGCATATGGCTTCCTTTGTAGAATTGTTTGTGACTGTGATATGCAAGCCTTTGTCACGCAGCTTTAACATAATATAACCTGGGAATGAAAGCAGCGAGGTTGGAAAGGCCCCTGGGGGGCGTGGGTGGGGGAAGAGGAGGGAGTGGGTTGGAGGTGTGTCACCTCTTGCCTTAAACTTCACACCCATAAAAAACTTGTTACATTGTGGGTAAATTGTGTTAACAACAGTCAAGTTCAATTGTAACATCAAGGGCCCACGAAGCGTACATATAATAATCAGCCGTGAACAGGTGTTATGGGTTGAGGCTCAGGGAAGCCCTGGTAGTTATTGTAGGGTTGCAAAATAGGAGGAGATTCAGATGATAAAATGTTGACTATTAATCATCATTGATAAATAAAATTCTTGTAAATATACTGGATCATTTGTACTAGAGGCACCCACAGTTGAGTGTTGATCAATACCCTCGATGGATACCCTCAATCGTTACCCTTGAGTGACCACCGATCAACACTAGATTGACTCTTGGTCAACAGTTTCGATAGCCGACTAATTTTTGCAGACATGCCATTGAGTGTTGATCAATACATACGAGTTGGTCTAGACCTGGGTGACTACTGACCAACTGTTGATTGAGTGTCAATCGAGACATCCATCGAGCATTAACCAATTGTTGGCTGTGTGTCAGTCAAGATGTCAATCAATCATTGATTGAGATGTCTATCGAGTGTTGATTGAGGGTCGCTCAAGGGTATGGGACTTGCCTGCAGATGCCTTTGGTATACATGATCCAATATGGCTTTGGTAATTTCGGGGTACCTTTATGATTTCACCTGCAGAGAGTGAGGACAAAAATCATGGCACAGCAAGCAAGTGAAAGAGCAGAGTCAAAGCCACACAAACTCATAGACATTATCAGGGAGAAAATAGAAAAGAATGAACAGTTTTTCTCATTGGAATTTTTCCCACCAAAGACTTTCAATGGAGCGACAAATCTCATGGCAATTATTGGCAGATTGAATGAACATTGTACACCTCTGTTCTGCAACATCACATGGAAGCCATCTCAAGACCCCATGTCAGACACCTGTCAACCAGAACCAAGCACCCTGTTGGTTTCTGCGGCAGCAATAGATTTATATGGACAAAATATTATGATTCACATTCCATCTGGAAACACTACACGGAGCCAGGTATTGGCACATCTTACACGCGCTAAAAATCTTGGCATTGGAAGTGTTCTGGCAATAAAAGGAGGTATGTGGTAATAAAATTAAATTTAGTCATCTTATTGATGGGTTATATATGTATGCAGTGTGGAATTTGTGCAGTTCAAAAACAATATCCTTACCCACCCCAAGTAAGGTCAGTTTGAAATTTCAGGGGAGGAGAGAAGGGTTTGAAAAGCCAATATTTTTAAAGGAACCATTATCAAGTGGATGGGGAGAAGTTTGGGGGAGGAGGGGTCTGGGGTAATATTTTTTTCCTGCCTGAGCAGTAACACATCAACTTGTATTTGGTTACCATCAAATTCCTGTGGCTCACATTCCCTTGGCCCGTTGTGTTCTCCTAAACTTCCACTCCTGTTTTTACTTTTATTTTATATTTTATTTTATTAATTGTTATTGATTGAAAAGTTACATTTTACAATTTTTCGTACACACTCACATACAGTAATTCGTAAACAGACACTGGGCATCATACCTTTACCTATGCACACCTCAGTTTCTCCATTTCCTAATAGAAAAGGTCATTGATACATTTTTAAAAATTACTTTATTTAGAGAGGAAGCCACATCAGGCTTAGCTAGTTTTTAGATGGGTCCTCCATCCTGGTCAAATTTGAATTTGGAGTGTTGGTTTCTGTGGAGGGAAGAAAACCAGAGAACCTGGAGAAAAACCCTCAGAGCAAGGTGAGAACCAACAACAAACTCAACCCCCATCTGAAACTGGGTAGGAATCAGACAACGGTCACATTGGTGGGAGGTGAGCGCTCTCACCACTGCACCATCTCTGCTCCCCTTTGTGCCAGAGTTTTTTCCCCTTCCATATTAACCTCATGTTACCACACTCCAGGAGGGTGCTAATAATATAATCTAGGCACATCTTTTTAAACACTCAGATAGAAGCCATGAGGGAGAACATGGACCCAAAGAGGATGGCTTTGATTACACTGTTGACCTTGTCAAATTTATCGGAAGTGAATTTGGAGATCACTTCACAGTAGGAGTCGTGGGTAGGTGTGTTAATTTGTTAATAGGCCAATCTGGAGTTTCTTAGTTGTCTCTCTTTCAGAACTTAAGTCCAAGTACAAAACTTGTCATTGTTTTATGTAGACAATCCTTTTAGTGCAAATTTAGCTTTGTTGGATGGAATTTTTTTGTGCCAGGCCTTATTTCAAATTTAACATCCAAAAGTACTGTATGCCATCATAAAAGAAAAAATTGTTATTACGCTAACCCCCTTGTAGTTTGCAGGTGTTTTCAGAGATTTGGATGCAGTAGATTAAAAGAACTCATATCAAATAGGAGTAACTACTAAAATAGTGACAGGGGTGATAATTTCATAAACAAATGGCATGAAGGCAAATCAAGTTTCACTTCACAAACAAACTCTTGGGGCATTACCTTAGTACAGGTAAATGTTGATGAGCAGTAGGATGACAGAGATAATTATGTGTGGTGTCCTTGAGTTGAGGTTAGTCCTGCATAGCAAATTTAAACCACGCAGACACTGCTCTCTGTGGAGTACACCATCCAAATGGCATTTATTGGGTGAAATGTTTGGATGTCTCGTGAGGGTATAAATGTGGTCCACTAAGGAGAGTTACAACCACACAGATACTGATCCCTGTGGAGAACACTATCAACATGGCATTTGGCATTTGTCTCACAAGGGGGACAAATGTAGTTCGCAATAGAAGGATGTAATTTTACCCAGAGTAATTGTTTTTATACACGTTAGGATATCTGATGACGTCATCTGATGTGCAGAGTTATGAAGAAGATCTGAAGCATCTCAAAGCACAGGTTGATGCTGGTGCAGACTTCATCATTACGCAGATGTTCTTTGAAGTGAAAACTTTTATCAAGTTTGTTGAGGATTGTCAAAGATATGGAATTAATGTGCCAATTATTCCAGCCATTTTCCCAATCCAGGTATGTAATGATGTCAATACTCCCAAATGGAGGCCAGGCCCTAGCTATTCCCCAGCCGATAACTTAATCCAGTGGATATGTTAAAATTTCTTTTTGCTGAATCAGAAGAATTTATTAGATACATGGAAAGTATCCACTCTTGAGACAGCAAGGGACTAATCAACAAGTACTAAAGGCCTTTGCAAGGGACCAGTGTAACATTGTAAGGTACCTGCTCTGCCAGTGAACTCCTAAGCTACCCAGTATATGTTCAGTTTGGGTCAGTGGGTTGTCAGGGTAAAATGTAGACTGCAGACTGCAGACTGCAGACTGGAAATGAAACGTACACTTCAGATCAGGGGTAAAATTGCGGACATCACACTGCAGACTTTTTAAGCATATATAATGTTGTTTCCATTTATTAGTACTAGCTAACCTTAGACAGGGTTATTTAGGCTAACCGGAGTGAAAGTCTGCACTCCAATTAGCCTGAATAGTGTACCAGTTACACTGAATATCACTCTGGTTAATCTGAATAATGCTCCAGTTAGCCTGTTTATGGTCAAGTCTTGATGATGAAAACAGTTAGGCGATTCAGTTAAAAAGTCTACGGTCTGCAGTCTGCATTTTACCCTCACTCTGCATTTTACCCTCGGTCCACAGTCCGTAGTCTGCAGTCAGTAGTCAGTAGTCTGTAGTCTGTAGTCCGTAGTCTGCATTTTACACTGACTGGTGTGTGCGTCTTAACTTTGATCCCACGTACACATATCGTGTTTAAATCACTCGTTTCACATGTGAACCTAAGCATATTGCTCTTTACAGAGACCTTCTTGGAGCTTGCAACACAATCTTGAAAATTTCTCACATGGAGAATGCGTGACGATCCCAGAAAGCGTCTTTTGTACGTCAAAGAGGCTGTTGATTTGAGTGTGCACTGGTGATAGTTACTGAGAGTTGAGGAAAAGCGATTAAGCTATGTTCATCCTTCAACCCTTGTCATGTGTCGTTGTCATTTGAATTGCTCTTGAAATACTAATTAATGTGTTTTCCTTTGCCCAGCAATCAACATTTTGCACTGATGTACCAGTGAAGATCCCCTAGTAATACGTATGTTTTGGCATTTGCTTCATCAACTCTTTATCAACTCTAACACTTGTCTGTGCCATGCAACTCGCGAACTTGCCTGTTCCTGTGTTTACAATTTTACCTTGTCATTTAATTGTTACTAGATATTTGATATTACTTTCTTGTTGGTATTTCACAGAACTTTAATTCTCTGCGCCAGTTGAAGCGATTGTCTCGCGTGGAAATCCCACAATGGTTGTTGGATACACTCACTCCAATGAAAGATGACAGCACAGCTGTCATGAATTACGGAATCAACTACGCCACCGAAATGTGCAAGCAGTTATTTGAAAGCGGCCATGTCCACGGTTTGCACTTCTACACTTTAAACCGAGAGACCTCCATCACGGAAATTCTGGAAAAAGCTGGCATGTTCCCCAAGGAGGACGAGCCAGATTCAAGCATGCGCAGACTTCCCTGGATGCAGGGCCCCGCCCATGCGAGAAGAGGGAGGATGGAGTTGGTCCGTCCGATCTTTTGGACGTCAAGACCTCGTAGTTATATGATCCGTACGTCTAACTGGGACGAGTTTCCGAATGGGAGATGGGGAGACTCTAGTGCGGCGTCTTTTGGAGAGCTTAAGGATTACCATCTAGTTTTGTTGGGCACACACAAGAGTAAAGAAGATTTGCTGAACATGTGGGGAAGAGAGCTGAACAGTCCTGAAGACGTGTTTGAAGTGTTTGTGTGCTACTTAACTGGCAAGGAAAACAGACATGGTTTCAAGGTCTGTGGGGTTCAGTGTATCAAAGCTCGGTAGATAAAATACAGACAGGCAGGTAGAAAGACTAACAGAAAAACAGACAGTCAAACAGAAACAGTCAGAGCGACCGAGGGAATTAAACTTACAACATTTCTTTTTGTTTGTTCTGCCCACTGAAAAAGCACTTAAAATAACGCGATCTAGCATTTCTTACAGACCTGTGTGAGAGCCGACCCAACAATGATGCTTGTAATTAAATATAACACGTTTTCTTTCCTTGACAGGTAACAGAATTACCTTGGAATCAGGATGAACTAGCATCAGAAACATTGCCATTTGTTGATAAACTTGCTCATGTCAATAGAAACGGCATTCTTACAATAAACAGTCAACCCAATGTGAATGGTGTACCTTCAACAGATCCCGTGGCTGGATGGGGGCGGCCTGGAGGTTACATCTTTCAGAAGGTGACCACCTAATTTTTCAGTTGTTTAGTACCAGCAATGGCATCAAACACAGTTTAATTAGTAGTTAAACATTATGCGTGTTCTCTGGTATTTCTACAAAATTTTGAAAACCCAGAGGAATAACAACTTTTTCTTTTACACGGTTGTTGTGTGATGTGACATTGAATGATAATCGACAACCTTACAAAAATTGCTTTCGAAATCTTCAGTTTATCTTCGGGCATCTTCCAAAATCTTTGCAACGCAACGCAACGCAACGCAATTTAAGCCCGGAACAATATTTTCTTTTTCGGAGGCTCTAACACAGACGAAACGAAGCGAAACGAAATGAAATGCAACGGTCACCTGTTGAATCTTTGGGGATCCAAAAATAGTTTTCGACAAAAATCTTTTAAGCTCGTTTTCTGAGTTATTATATATTCATTTGTAACGTACATGATGCTACGGTTTTGAGNGGGGGGGAGGGTGTGTGTAGCGGGAGCACTTGCGCAGCTTAAATACCAATACAGGAAATGGCTTAGGACTAGAAGACGCACAAGTGCTCACTGTGTATCGCCGAGTAACGCTAAATGCCACGCAATATCTGATCTTAGGGACAGGAAGACGTGACAAACGCGAATGTGTACTCGTCCAATGCGGTCACGTGGGGTGCGTTTCCAGGCTCAGAGATTCTTCAACCAACTGTTGTGGACCCTGTTGCATTTCATTTTTGGAAGGTAAGCAACAAGAAAATCTATACTAACATTTGTGGATTTTAAAAGAGGTGTTTGATTGCCTTTAATTATATGTTAAGCCCTTGAAATGTTGTCTATCGTCACTCATTCAGGCTACCAGCTCCCTCATGAATACAAATTCTTGTAAGACTGGCCCAATATTCGTACTTCAATAACTAACTAATATGAAAAATGAAAAAGCACTCGCGGGCACTGTAGGGCGTGGTGGCCTTCTTGGTTAGTGCGTTGGAGTCCTGCTCGAGGTTACTGCGTTCTGTTCGCGGGCAAGACACGTGACTCTTAC